GGGGGGGGGGGGTCTTCGGAGGACTTCAGGGGCGGACCTTTTAAAATTTAAAGGGATCAAACGAGTTTGACGACTTTCCTCAGGATGGTCGACCGCAGGTTCTTTCATCCTGACTCAGGATACCACTTCTGCAGGGGATCATCCAGATAGGAGGCAAAGAGGATGGTCGCCGTTGGAGCCTGGACTGGGATTGGCGAACGAGGGAAAAAAGTCGTGTTAAGAGTATAAAGATAAATTCCTCAGCCGGGAGCAAAGCAAAGTACTGCGAGCAAAGTCTTGCGAGGTACCACAAGTACAATTACGTCTACGCACTTGAGCAGAAACGGCATTCCGGTCTAGTTTCACAAAACGACCCATTCGGTCGTGGTAGCAATAACGCGCAGCTGGTCCAGGCTGCATTAGCATACCCAGCATACTTTACGACAGGTAATACCTGAACTTTATTACTTGAACATTACCACGATTAATCCACCTACCCTGGTACCGTTTATCGTCCCTTTAATAATTTGCCCATAAACTGCATTTCTTATAAGAAATTAGTGTATACAGTAATTAGATCGACTATTTGAATGAGACTCCGGTACACGGGCATTTTTTCAAAAAAAAAAAAAAAAATTAACGATTTTTTTATTCCACCCAAGGGACACATGGCAGTCGCGTGCTACCGCAAAGATTCGACAGAGGCGACTGCAGCGTCAGGGTAGAGGTGGATTCTGCACTGTGGCAGATACAGAGGATACTCAAGGAGGAAGGAGGTAGGGTGCTGGTAGGTGAACGTGAAGGTGAATAAGGTAGAAAAGGTAAAAGAGTGAATGGCGATGTAGAGGAAGAGGTCGAGAAGGAGAAGGCAGGCACGAGCCTCCTCCAGCCTCCATCCAGTCAGAGAGACCTGCAGTCCAGCTGCATTCCTCGAGGGCTCTGTTCTCCTCCGCCTTAGCATTCCTCATTCCTCATTCCCCACGATGCGTGGACCATTCGTGAGCCGCGCGACGCGTCGCCTTCTTCGTGGCTGGTAGGTGCATCGTCGCGCGCGTTTTCTCTTATAAATATTTAACGAGAGTGTGCCCCACGGCCTCCCGTAGCTTCGTCCCGCATCCAGTCGTCTTGGGTCAGCAGGATCCCACTTCACTGGCGCACGCATATACTGCTTTATAACCGTTCAGAAACTTGGACTAGGTTCTAGTTCCTTCTAGAAGGTGTCACGTGACCTAGAGTCATCCTATCACGTGTCACGGAGTTATCAAGGCGCATTTAGGGAAGAAGATTGATACCGTCACACAGGAAGTGGAAACAGTCGAATTTTATAATTCCAATGATTCCTCATAATTCCAGACTGGAATCTACTGTTGCAGTCAATGTCAAGGTCACCGAGTCACTCGCCGTTTCAAAGCCTTCCGTGGGAACCCACGTGGCTCTCGATCAAGCATTGTCCCGGCGTCCGAGCCGTGACAGTGGGGGAGAGTGGAGGCTAGAGGAAGAAGTGGAGAAAAAGAAATGGCTCTTCCTCCGACACAGGAAACGGCACCCGTTCCTAGCAGAAGGACAAAGCATCGGGTATAATTAGCTTGAAAATTAGGTCTTCCTCTTCTTGGGACTGTCACTGGGAGTGACTCATCGGTTGGCTATTGACGTCTCGCTGTTCTATCGATACTCTAATGGATGTAAGTATTGTCTCCGTCTGGCCCTCCTCAGTCAGCTCAGCCTGGGCCGACCAATCGGAGTACAGCAATGCAATTTTACATGAGTCCAAGCCTGGAACGCGACGGACGCATGCGATAGACTGATACAGGAGAGACGGTACTGAGAATCACATTTGGAATTGTAATCATCGTGCTGAAAAGTCGTTGATGTCACGTGGGAGAGATCTAAATGGGTGTGCGTAGACAAGCGCGGAGGGAGACGCGAGAGACAGCGGCAGCGATAAGGAGCGAAAGGGGGCGTAAACGCAATGTCACGTAAGATAGCATCAGTCCCACGGATTATTCTAGTACAAATAAAGGTGAAATTCCAGTGTCATAAAAATACAGCCAAGTTTTGCGTATAGTTAAATTTAATAGCAAAAACAAAATTCCCTAGATCTACCGTACCCTGTGTCTCCGCCGGTGACGTCTGGTACTCTCACCACTACCCAGAAGAAAATCATCCCGCGGCAGATGCGGCGTACCGGCGTAAGTCCTAGAGCTGGTCCTCTTCCTGGACGAGGTCTTCTTGGCTCGTTTACTGACGCGTCGCTTCTCCTCGGCACCGAAGAGTCTTCCGAATATCTTCATACCGATCTATGTACTCGGGCAAGGTCGGGGGGACGCGAATCAATCGTTTCCGGATACCCGGGACCCGGAACGAAGGAAGATCAAGAGCACTGAACAGGTCCCGTCCACATTGGCCGATGAACGGCAGAGCACTAGGTCATGGAGGAAGCAAGCTCGATAGACCGTGTGGTAATATTTTCACACATGGCCGGCGCGTCCGTGTCTAACGGGCAGCAAAGGGGCGGCTCTGCGGCAGAGCTTTATCAGTCGAACATATATGACACACACCCGATCACTCTACTGAACCTTCTTGTAATCCCTTCTCGACCGGACTCTGTCTATTCGATTAATCGTCGCTACGAAGCCGTACCCGTCACGCTGTGATCTCGTGGCAGCCATCTGCCACTCGCAGTCTCCCCTTTCGGCCGAATTACGCTGACTTGCCTCGGGAAGGCATCTACGAGAAATGGCGCGGCGGGGAGGTGGTTCTTGAGATTTGGGAATCCGAACTCGGGGATGCCAAAGTAACGTTACTTGGTTGCCGGCGAAAGGCCTTGTACCGAATTTCTAAGGACGTTCGAACGACGTTTCGATCCATGGATACATTGGCGAGGCATGGGACTAAGGGAAGTGACCAATAAGGAGGAAGGATTAAGAAGCCCCTAACGTACATTCGTCATTTCCACATTCTTATCCTACTTTAGCACGCTAGCGTAAGACTCTTAGGTATTTCGCAATGTGCTACGGACTGCACCCTGTGCCTGCAGTGTGATCGTTTTTATTCTGGGTTGGTTCATCCTGGTGGAATTGCTCGTTGGAGAGATTTCAACGGTAATTGACGTTTTTTTGCGATTGAGAGAAGCGGATTTATAGATCGTACTGTTGCTAAATGTTTTAAGCCATTCGTCCAACCTATCGACAACTTGCGGTCGTTGAACTGTCGTTGGATGATCTTCGTTCGAGGGTGGTTCTATACTGGTGGTATATATATCCGTTAAGATCAGAATGTTTCCGGATAGTGGAGGGATCTTACGGAATAACAAGGGAACAGACTATCAAGTCGTTCAAATGATAACGATTCTAACGGTAATAAAATATATGTGGATTGTAGATCGATAAAAGCATTTTGCAAGCAGAGTGGTATTACCGACTGTTGGTATATATACGGTCGGTAAGTGCGGTACTTAATAATGCATACTAACAAATCGCAGTAAAACATCAGGCACATTAGATTACCTTAAACACAATTTTATATCTGAGTCAATGAGCCAACCTTTGAAAATCTATACCACTGTATAGGTGGGTTTATGGAAGTTTTGTAACTTTAGGAAAGCACAGAACTCGAGAAATCAAAGTCTCGATGACCTTGAAATCGACACACGTTGTGAGCGGAGTGACATATTTAAAAAAAAAATTAGCATTACTCAGTATTTACGATATTCTCCTAAGCAAGATTAGATAACGTGCTTAGTAGATTACTTTAGACTCTTGATAAGGATAACATATTAAAAGTTAATTAGAGCTCTCAAAGACATACCGGCTCGTCTACTGGCTCGTCGAGGACCTCCAGGATGGGATCGGAAGCCGCTGTAATGCCGTTCGGATGAGAGTAGGAACCGCGATGATTCCCTGGAAGCGGCGGAGGTGTTACCGAAGCAGGAGGGGAGATGGAATTACCCCTTTGGCATTCCTGAAATCCACCGGAACTGCTGCATCTTCTCGACTCGTCTTCCGCACTGTAACAAAGACACCCGACACTTCAATATAGTTTCATCTTATCGGTGGATCCGGAGAGAACTTCTTTTTTTCTTGAATGAAAATTATTTCATGCCAGACAGGGTACACAGACAGCACGGCAACTGCCTTGCGTCAAAGCTCACAGAGATTATTTACTCTCTGCGCGATGTGGAAGAAAAATCTTTAAAAATTGTGCCAAACAAATCTTATAATCACTCTGATAAGATTAGAGTCGCATCTTCATGAGACGCGGACTTGAGCCCGCAAATTACATATATATTACATGAACACTGGTACCGATATATGTATATTTAACATTTAGCAACCAATTATCGTTCTACTGTATATAATTGGTCCACGAGTTCAATGTAAATTTTTTGAAGGTTCACTAACAAACTGATCCTTAACAAATTACATGTGTGTGTCCATCAGGTCACATAAATATATGATAAAATGGAACAATAAAATCTATTTCATTAGAAATCCATGCGCATGGATACTTTCTAATAAAAATTGTATGCATAACCCACACACGACTTGTTAGAAATCAAAAAGACACGTCAAGCTCATGGACGACTGTACGCTACTAGTTAATCATGACTAAGTATATATTATAAAAAATATATATAGTATAGTATTGTGTCCGCATAAAGAGTATCTTAATAACAAGAAACAGTTACACGTACAACAATAAAGACAGCCGATGAAGTAATTTAGATAATTGTATCGCAATGGCAGATGCCTGAGTATAATAAAAGTTTGCTATAAAATATTCCATCTCATGACTGATGCAAAAATCGGCTGAGCATCGGACTAAGCGTTAAGATAGTAAGGACATAATAAAGATTACAAAGGCAAACAGAAGTTGCAGGAGGAATTGTTTGCGTGTTGTATTAGTTGCGCAAAAAAAAAAGTGAGACATAGGAACGTGTGAGAAATGTCAAGTAAAGCCAGACGAGGCTCCCGTAGTATCACGTGTAACCAGAGAAAGGAGATAATGATGAAATAAGGGGGCGTAACGGCGCAGACCACGGCAAAGCAACATTTTGACTCTAGTCCACGCGCAGTCCGGTGAAAACCGACCGAATTTGATAACTGAGGACGTTGTTCACGACGCCGCATCGACGTACACAGGTGGGGTCGGGATTTTACGAGATATATAAGTGTCCTCCGTATGTGCCAGTTGTGTTCTTCGACGCTTGATATGTCTTTATTATCCTATTGGTAGAGTCTGGGGAATTTATCGAAGGCTTTCGGTCAACGCCCGTGGAAGATACTGCGTGGATCCGTAATCCGCGGCGGCTGAGGAGTTCTTGGAAAGTTTCACATGCTGAAAACCAAAGGTAAGTAAACGTTACGGATTTTCAGTGTCTCTTCAGTCACGGCTAAAAATTACGTACAGGGGTTACCAGTCAGCACGTAAAGTCGGTTAATCTATAATCTACAAGCAAGAAAGTTAGTCAGTGCGTTATCTGATAATACCAATAGGTCAAAGAGGAGCGATAACAGTTTTCGATAAAACTTCAATAGAAAGCTAACGGTTTGATGCTATTAAAGTAACTGGAAGCTGATAGCGAATAGGTAAAAGGGACGATGACTGGTAAGAGATCATTAGGTCTCTGAGAAAATTGATAGTCTCTACGAGTGACAAACAAGATCCGTGAAGGACGTAGAAATCGAGTATAAATCTTAAAGATAAGACGGTATATAGCACCGAGTCTTGCGATGCTCGGAACAAAAGGTGCACTTCGATCTCAAATACCCAGCGGGTCGAATAGTGGTGTGTCTTGGTGTGTCGACGGGAGGTTTCCATTGAGCGACAGAAGTCACAATAGAAGAGAAGAGCCGTAAATGGAGTCGTGTGATATTATAGAATCGGTTGCTGCGACGAATCCAGCAGGAGCGCTGAGCTTGTACGAGAAGGACGCGATGATGGGGGCCGACTCGAAGGTTGACGCGTCCCAGCGGATGTTGAACGTGGACGAGCCGCTTCAGGAAGGCAAGAAGCTCCAGCAGTACGTCTCGAGTCTGGTCGGTGAGTATCGATGAAAGCAGCCAAACGGGACGTTCGAACAAGGTCCCGATTCCTGAGGAAGATAAGGAGATTAAAAGTCGTTCTTTGGTAGTGTGCCTGACGGCGATACAGAGTGGAATGACCCTAGGATGGTCTTCGCCAATATGCCCATACCTGAAGAGCGGCCAGTCCTTCCTGCCGGCGATCACCGACGAGGAGGAATCCTGGATATCGTCGCTGCTGGCCATTGGTGCCATCGTGGGTGCAGTGCCGTTCGGTAAGGTTGCTGACAGGATCGGTAGGAAGAAGGCAGTCGTCATCCCGGCCTTGCCTTACCTCGTGTCCTGGGGTCTGCTGATCTTCACCAGGAACCTCATGTGCATTTACCTGGCAAGATTCGTCGCGGGCATCGGTACCGGCGCCGTCTTCGTCCTGGTGCCAGTCTACGTCGGCGAAATAGCTGAGACCTCCATCCGTGGCGCCCTTGGGATCTTCCTGCCCCTCTTCTTCTCCTTCGGCCTAGTCTACGCGTACACGGCTGGGGCCTACGTCAACTACATCAGCTTCAACGTGACCTGCGCCCTGATGCTGGTACCGTTCCTGATCTGCGTACCGTTCATACCGGAGTCGCCGATGTGGCTCGTGCACAAAGGCAGAAAACTGGAGGCCAGCAAGGTCCTGGAGGTACTACGTGGTCCAGACTACGACGTCAAGCGTGAAATCTCCATCCTCCAGGAGGAGGTCAGCGAGCAGGAGAAGAAAAAGGGTGGCTTCCGTGACATCGTGAAGACCAAGGCCGGTCGCAAGGCCATGGTCACTTGTTTAGGCATCATGTGGTTCCAGCAAGCTTCCGGCGTGGACGCGATACTCTTCTACACGGTGTTGATCTTCAAGGACGCCGGAAGTACCATAGATCCCAACTTAGCGACTATCGTAATCGGCATGATCGAGGTCGTCATGACTGTCATCGTAGCCTTGGTGATCGACAAGTATGGCCGTAAGCCCTTACTAATAGTTTCCGGTTCCGCTATGGCCCTGTGCCTCGGTGTCTTCGGCTACTACTTAAAACTCAAGGATGACGGTACCGACGTCACCTCCATAGGATGGCTGCCCTTCACCTGCCTGTCGCTCTTCAACGTCGTCTTCTCCGTCGGCTTTGGCGCCGTGCCGTTCACCATAATCAGTGAGATATTCCCTCTGGAGACCAAAGGCGTCGCCACGAGCATATGCATAGTGTTCAGTTGGGCCCTTGTGTTTACCGTGACCAAATTGTTTCCCCTGCTCGATGAGAAACTTGGTTCGGCAGTGACGTTCTGGATTTTCGCTGGTTTCTGCGCGATGGCCTCGCTCTTCACGTATTTCTTCGTACCGGAGACCAAGGGCAAGTCCATCCAGCAGATACAGAAGAAGCTCAGGCGCAGAAAGAACCAGGTCAAAAGTAGTCACGCAGTCTGAACTTCATTAAGGGACGGAGCAAGGACCGCCCAAACAACAAAGCCAGCCCCATCATCCGGGCATACAGTCGGGGGAGCAGGATCCTCGACCTCGTGTCCTTCGCCGGATACGGCACTCGAACAATACGTCGCAGGGTATTGTCGCTCGCGTTCAATTGCAATGCAATTACTTTAGTTCCCTTTAAAAGTCTAACTTAATAATGGACAAGCCTACCCCGTTCGAAGAGTCTCGCGGGAGGTGCTTACACCTAGTATTGTATATACACGTATAAATATACCCACAAAGAGCCACATCAGCGAGCTACCACCTACCGTCATTGACTTCGCTGAACTGACTGGACTAGCTGTCGCCAGCTAGTACACCCAATGCTCCTTAAGAGAATCGATTGACTCGCATCGACACCTTCGCTATGGCTTGTTCACAATACACTACTACTCTTCAGCCTCGGCTACAGCCTGCATCGATTCCTCTCCCTTAAGAGAAAAAAAAAAGAAAAAAAAAGAGACTAATGCGATCACTCGAGGAAGCGCGTACCAACGCTCATTGAAGGTACATTAACTGATCGAAGAGTCTTATACCCTGATGTTATACCTTCCCGAGCAAATGCGTGATAATTCAATTAGAATTGGCATCATTGGTTTATTCGTGTTTGCAAGTAAGGCTTTCTCGGCACGCAATGCGCAAGGATTACATAGCGCAAAACATGTTAGTGTACGTAATTATTTACGGGATCAGACCGCCAGTCCTGATGAATTTTAGTAATCGAAATTATCGGATCGACGCTACCCAAGGATCATCGGGGGTCTCGGGTCATCCGTGTACGTAATAGTGACACTGTGAACTCACCAGAGGGTGTGACGCGAGGAATGTGCAGAGTGAGAGACAGCAGATCTCCTGCGACCGTCTTCCGGCGGAGGTGGGGCGATACAGTAAAATCCATTTAGCGGTACAAAGTAGCCCAGTTGCGCCGGAAGTGTGTTGTATCCACCGGAAGGATTGTAGAAGCATCTCTGAGCACCGCCGTACATATTTTTCTTTTTATTTTCACACACCTGGATCCACTGTGTTCACTGTGCTGGATCACTGATATCGTCACGTCGATGGGTGAGCTTGTCTTCGCCTGGGGTCTCCGATTGATACTCTGACTTCCGGTACGTCATTTTGGCTGTGGTAAGGACCCTGATGTATTGTTGGATGTATAATACAAATCACTGTTCGCTACGAGGTCCTTGACGATCTTGGTACGGTTAATTGTTGATCACTTTTTATGATGGTCCAGGTCGATTTCCGGTTCGCGTGTAACCGACGTCCATGCAGGCATGGGGGATCGCGGTGGCAGTCTTCCTTTATAAATAGTTATACCAAAAGGCTGCTGAAGTCGTCACGTGCCGTTGGCACCGGTTCTCGCGTTTCTGAGTTTTGATAATTAAAAGTTTGAAGTCGCTGGTACATGGGATGGTCGAAGGGGAAGAAGCTGGGGCGTTTCGAAGGGGGTTATCGAGGGAACGATCTGGTTTCGTGGAACGGCGGAAATCATAAATAGAAGCACAGCCTGTCGATTCTGGTAGGTGGGTACGAGGGAGAGAGCGAGAGGGATTGGGAGAGTGTAAAAAGAATGAGAAGAAAGTTGGGCTCGTCAGAAAGAAAGTCACGTTATAAGTGGGTAAACAAGAAAGGAGCCCTGAGACTAGACGCGCGTTCGACGCGACGAACGCCGCGACTGAGGGTCGCACTTCCAACGGCAGCGTCTCTACGGGTCTACGACGACGCCGACGTCGCTTGACGCTTCTCGAAATAACGCTGTAAGCCATCGGGATGCCGCGCACCTTTAACCAATCTGGTTCAGCCTCGACTTCACTTCCCCATCCGAGAAACTTACTTACATATTCATAAAATTGCTGCAACTTTTTTTTTTTAAGTGTAACACTTAGTTAAGTGTGACACTAATCTATAAATTTCAAGTGTAAGATGGACTATTCCTTAAATTACGAACCCTTGACCTCCTGGAATCGTATTGATAGTACAAGTCAATGTCAACTGATTGGACGATCCACTCAATTGATTTTTCTGATTAGAGAGAATTATATTAAAAGCTCGACAAATCGGCGATCCATTATTCAGATATGATTGTTAAGATCTATACTTGGAAGATAATCATTGCTACTTCCTATAATTAGATAGCCGTGGATCGATTAAGTATTTATACTGATTAAGCCAACCAGCCAATCTGGTAAAACACCAGGAACAAGGAATACGCGCGAGTCAAAGTACTTTTCACCAAGTTTCTTTTGAAAGGCGTCAGCCAGCTGATCTCTCCTTCCTTGGAGACAGCTTGACAAATGTTCCTCAGCAATCAGAGATAATCTAGACAGAATTATTCTGCTTATTCATCCAGTTGGAGAAGGTCGAACCTGACCTAGGAATCAAATGACGAGGCAAAAATAAAATTAGCCACAGGCACGATCATCACCATCGACAAGTCCTGATCGCTCCAAGCTGCAGTTCCTGGATTGTATTTATTTCCATCGGAGGATTGACCAGGGTCGCAAAAAGACAAGGTTCTGCCTCTCGTCTGCGCATCTGCCAATCACATTGGTCCAGTGTTCCAGCATCGTTGCATTCTCTCTAGCTGGTTAACGATCCAGGCAAAACGGCGATGCGAATAATGAGACTGAATGCTTTTAGCCAAGAATAGCAGGCGATATAGAAACCCGGCTTAAGATCTACGTTCGTTCGTTCGTTCTTCAGCCGAACCCAGATAGATGCATACGTGCATATATACGGCATACCAAAGGCACGGAGAGCAGCCACTTGGCAAACGGCCCATTCTCCCTTAGCACTTTTCTTCCTTCTTCTTCTTCTTCCTCTTCTCCTCCGGCACTCCGGACTTCGTACTCAACATTGTCAAATGCATTTCCATTTTATGTCGCTCTACCTTCTACGCAGTTTGATTCTCGTGATACACTTGCTGAAGTTACATGTAAATTTTCCACAACGATCCCGTAGGTGTTACGTGCTAGCATGAACGACGATACGTAAGAATTCCATGTGCTGAGATACTGTCGCTCGTTGTGAATAAGGTACTCGACGAATTCGATATGAGAATGACTATAAAGAAAATTGAACGACAGGATCCAATTTCGATTAGTCGATTCCTCGGGGCATTCTCATGACGACCACGGACAAGTAGGTGCTCGTGGATTCTCTTTATCAACGTTTTCCAATTCTAGACAAAGAAAAATACAATAGATAAGATAGGTTATTAACTGTTTTCGAATTTTAACTTCGACGGATGAATGATATATCGATACGATTTTTTTATTGATTACAAGGATTCCATTGATTATAGATTACCGTTTAATAACGAGTCCAGGAAGTAGTATCTCTAGTGACGTGGATCCTGCGATTACAGCTATCTCCATATTTCCATTGACTATTCGAGCAGTTGACGCACATAAATCGCGACAAGCAGCACATCCTGAGGATTGAAATGCCTTGGGAGACAGTAAGGACGTTTAATATCTGCATCGTCTGCGAAGGCACGATCGGTCGGTTTGCCGTTCATCGTCTTCAGGGCTGGTCTTGCACTTAGTCGCAAAGAGATTAGCCTAACCCCTAGATAGATCAAGGAGATGTTTGCTCTTCAGAATTTGCGTACATATATATATACTTGTACCGTCCCTTATGTTCTGCACTTTGACCCTTCTCGAAATTCCTTTCAGATAGCTGCGATTGGTTAGTGAAATATTAAAGCTATTGTCACATAGGTCTCCAAGTGCCTGGACAGGATACCAACTACGCCTGGAAATTTCATGGCGCCTGGAAGCCGGCAACAAGTACGACAGCCGTGTCTCGAGGTATCTCGTAAACACGGGGTTTGGGTAAGTTTTTATGGGCTTAAGCCAAGAGCTTTCCCGTCTGGGTCGCTATACGACATTGCCGCAGGCGTAGAAGGATATTACGAGGTCACTGTGGAAATAATCTATGGAGCCAGGGGAGGGTGAGTATGTGCGGTGGTTGTTTCTGACCTGAAAACCGCAACGCAGCCGACGTCACGGGATTGTTTGACAAAAGAGGGTAAACAGCGAGGAGACCGTAGGAAATTTCCATCATCGCGACGCACCCGTCTAACCTGTTTTTAAGGGCAGCAGACATGCAGTGTAGCGAAGCTGGTAGATCGTTATATGCTGTCGTCAAAGATTTCCGGGATCCTTATCAACTCTTCCTTATTGCGTGACTGATTAAATTTCATTCTGATCCTCGAGAATGTCGACGCCGTCGTTACGTATCGTCGTCCCACGCGACGGTTGGTCTTGTGGTGGGAGAGACTAGTTCCAACAATCGCCACCAGGAGCGCTCCCGACCACGAACCTCGTTAATGCTCTCGTATGTCTTTCCGGCAATCCGAATAAATCAGATCTAATTAAAGCGCGTGTAATTGGAAGATTAGCTGGGTGAACAGATACCCCCGCTGCTCTCTCCGGGTTTACCTTAAGCTAAATAATGCCGAAGTACGCTGGGAGAAACAACCGTCGTGCACGAGGTAGGCTCCCTATACAAAAAATATCGTCCGAGCAGAATCACTATAGGTACGTCCGTAGGTACGTATGAACGTCATGTTCTCGTGAGAAAGGACGTCGTTTTAGTCGTTAGTCCATTACGTTCACTATTATACGAAAAAACTTTGTCAGCCTTTTGTGATATCGAGGCGTAACCGAACGAGGCTTAAAAAAACAATGACCATCCGTACAGACTGTTACGATCATGTTTTACGTGTATAAAGAGAAGCCAGGAAAGTGAACGCATTGAATCAGATGACTCTGAGTTCACGTTACTTGCCAATCCGTTTATACGAGGCAGAGTGCCGATCCTCGAAATTGAATAAAGCAGTCCTGGCATATCTGAGAGGCACACTCGACTCGTCTTCCTGTCTTCCTCGTACCTTCATCCTTCCTGCGGAGAACCCTGAGCCTCAAGCACCAAGTTTAACCGTGCGGCCTTTCAATCGGCAAATTCAATTTTCCCTCATTCCCTCTTGGCTTCGGTCAATCTCAATTTACGAACTTTCTCGAAGTTTCCCCCGTGAGCGCAGCCGCAGTCCCGTACCCAAAACGACCGTAGCCTCAATGAGACACTATTCACCGGAGATTGGGTAGGTCTTAACCTTCTATATACCTAAATCCTATGTAAAATTATTCTGTGGCATATTTAATAGACCACCAAAGAGTTCCTCGGTACGTCATAAATTTGTTCAGATACAGAAGTCGATTGTCGAAACGTTACGTGTGCACTAATTACGATTATCGTTTTACACGTGCGAGCGAATTCGAGGTATTCCTGATAGACGGCGATCTGTATTATTTCCCATGATGCATTGCAGGATTAGAATACCTGGTTCCGTACTTTAATTCCCGAAGAAAGTGTTACGTCACCGTCGTGCCAACGTTCGTGGCCGCTCGACTAAAAGTAAACGGTAAACATTGACCGGTTGCTACGTCTTTCA